GAAAGCGTACGCGTTTACGTGGCGCATATTTGCAGTTAATGTCTAACATTGTTAAGTGGCAAGAAAACAGACATATTTTTTGCGCAAAAACTATGAATGCTACATGATTTTACAAAGAGCACAAAATTGTAAATGGATGATTAGTGCATCAGCCAAAAAATGAGTTGTTTCCATCCACCAAATAAAAAGTTTTGGTAGTTTTTGTACCACGATACTCAAGAATTCACCAAGTCCAAAACGGCTGAACTCTATTGTTTTATCAAAATATGAGTCTTACATAAGAACAAATTCACAGCGAGTTTTACCAAAATACATCGTACCATTCTCTCGATATTTCAAAAGATAATTTTTTTTGAAGAACTTTGACCATCAATAGCAGAGGAGCCAGACATGTTTTGTTAAGAAAAGTTAGGTCAGATCGTCTTCTTTTGATGCAAAGAATATTGCAGTATCCTTTTGATCATCTGCGTACGGGACACCCTGTATAACTCGTTTTGCTTTTAGTTCAGTTAGGGTTTAGGGCTCCGTTAAAAATTTAGGTCCTTAAAAAGGTTCCGTCACCAAAAAAGTTTGGGAACCGCTGTTTATTAATCTGACTCGTAGTGCACAATTTCCCAATTATTTTCTGACGTGTGAGATGTAAATCAATTTTAAAACAAATATTCTTCACGTTTTAACCGATAATTTTTTCACAAAAAATTAAAACGTATCGATAAAGGCTAACGTTTCCTTATCCAAACCGAAAATTTTCGTTTCCGTTTCTAATAATTCCTCATGCTTCCGCATACTTACTCCTTGGTACCTCTCCGAGCGGTTTTTTCAACGATTTTTGTTCATATTTTTTGCTCAAATCTGGTCCCGTTCAGCAGTTTGTAAAAACAGCTTTTTAGAATGTCGACGGCAAAATTAATAATAAATTTAAATTTTTTATCTTAATCTTAAAAAATACATTATTACATATATAATATTGAAAATTAGAGTGAAAATGGAATTATTGTGTTCTCATTAACATAAAATA